AGGCAACTGGAGCCAGCACCCATGAGTGTATCAAGGATAAAAAGATACAAAGAGGCTCCATGTAAAATACCCAGAATGTGGAATGATTCTAAAGGGATAACTAAAGACAGTTAAGAACTAACCAAGTTAATGCCGCTTACCCATGCAACAGTACTCAAAGAGATCTATGGAGAAAGCATTTCATACAAATGTATAAAACCTTTCCATGCTGTGTTAGACATTGTCTATGACTGATTTAGTAGATGATGGTAACCGTTGAGTGTTTTACAGATGTTGAAACCCGTTTGAAAGATATCAAGTACATCTGAAGAAACAAAGGCCAGCAATAACTATAAGATTCTTGGGAGTTTTATGGTTGGGTAAAATAAAAACAGGCTTCCAAACTGTATAACTGTTAAGAAAAAACTACAGTACCAGGGGTGGGTTGCCCCTCTATGAGCTGTTGGCGAGAGAGATATGCTTTATATTGGCAGAAGTATGTTTCTGTTTCAAAGTTAAAGATTTAGTTTTATCTGAACTGAGTACCCAAAAAGTTCCCTTGGGAACTCCTCAGGATCTTAGTTGGCAACATGGACTCATGCCTGGAAAATCCAATATCTGAAAGATAGGTGTTATAGATAAAGAAACAAATCAGCCAAATAATGGAAATAAGAGGGAGCTTTGCTCACAAAATAGTTTCCCAACCACAGTTGGTGGTGGGGTGTGAACAAGAGATGAAGCATTTTAGACCTAGGATGGGAGCAATGAAGAAAAGATATAGTCTAACAAAGGGAGAGATAATCATTTCCCCCCCGCCCGGAAATAGGTATCTTTCAAGAACTTGAATGCCACCTCTTTTCCTTCCTTTCATGGTTTAACGCCTCTGATCATGGTGAATGGTAGGTGTCATAATCCTGAAAGTGTGTGTGGACAGACCAGGTAAGTTTCAAACAAGTTAACTCTGTATTATAGTTTTAGTTAGGCAAAACATCTCTATATATCTATGTATCAGCTCTCTATCATCTATCTATCTATCTATCTATCTATCTATCTATCTATCTATCTATCTATCATCTACCAATCTATCTATCTATCTATCTATCTATCTATCTATCATCTATCAATCTGTCTATCTATCTATCTATCTATCTATCTATCTATCTATCTATCTATTTTCTATCTTTTATCTGTCTATCTATCATCTATCTATCTATCTATCCATCTTATCTATCATCTATCTATCTATCATCTATCATCTATCTACCTATCTATCATCTATCTACCTATCATCTATCATCTATCTATCTATCTATCTATCTATCTATCTATCTATCTATCTATCATCTATTATCTATCTATCATCATCATTTACCTATCTATCTAATCTATAATCTTTTTATGGTGAAGAATATCTGTATTTAGAATGATCCAACTGGACTGCTTAGATGATCCCAATTTTGCTGGCAACATCCACAGCATCATAATCAGGAGCCTAGTAGAATATAGGCCTTCTTCTCTCCATCAGGTATGATCAGGCCACATCAGTGTCATAGAGTTTCTTCACTGCCTACTTGGCTTTCAATGCTTTCTCTTTGGCTTCAGCTTTGGTAGGGCCAGGAAATTCCTTCTTCACTTTTGGAGTCATCTTAGCAAAAAAGCGACACATATATAACAATATAGCTTTTATACATATGTAATATATGTGTAAAACTGTCATTGCACCTAGGACTTTGTACATGCTATGTATACTGACCTATGAATAAGTCATTTCTTTTCTTTCTCTTTTTTAGTCTTTTTGAGATAGAGTCTCCCTGTAGCCCCAGCTGACCTGGGACACACTATGTAGATCAGGCTGGCCTTGAAGTCACAGAGATCCACCTGACTCTGCCTCTAAAGTGCTGGGATTAAAGGCATGCACCACCACCACGCCTCGCATGGATAAATCATTTCTTAAGTGATTAACTCAAATATATACAGAACTAAGTAGAACTTGACCCAAAAGTTAAAATAGCAAAGGGAACAAACACAATATGAAGGCAAATAAGCCAAGCTCGCTCATCCCATTCCAAGTACCCACTGTAGACCATCAAAACTGGCTTCCAAGTTCCTGAAATGTAATGCAGGCAATTGTTTCTTAACCTACATGTCAGGGGTGATATCTACATCAAAGATAGTGCAAGACTAATAATATATTGGCTGGTTTTGTGACCTTCCAAATTAGTGATTTTAGGGAGATTTTTTTTTTCAGTGCTGAGGATTGAACCCAGGGCCTCAAACATGCTAGACAGGTGCTCTAGTAATAAAGTTTTCCCCTATTTCACAAATTAATAGTCTTTAAGATGACTAAGAATAAGTGAAGCTAGAGGGTATATTTGGGCTTTCCTTAGTAACATCAAATGCCATGACATATATGCCATGCCTCCTCAACCTTGACCAATGACAGAACTGATAACTAATTCTTGAAACTTAACTAAGGATGCAGAACTACCCCAATAAAGTTAGTCAGATTGGACAGAGCTCTGCCCTTAAATCTCACAAAGAATGTTTTCCTCAATGAATTGTAAGTTGTCAAAAATGTTAGATTTGAAGCCTAACAAATAGGTTTAGTTTTATTTGCAATTTAAACGAAAACATGCTATTTGATAGTGTGTTTGAGGATGTCTATGTGCTGTGTGTCATTGAGATCATTGATGTGAAGAGTGCAGATGATGGATAAGAAGGCAGATGATTAAGAATAGGATAATAGATATCTGTAACAGGAAGAGGAAATGCCAAATGGTGTAGGGGTATTTCTTTGATCACTCCAGTGATCAAAGAAAGAAAGGCCAGCTGTTAGCTAGGAGGGAGCAAATCTTCTTTCCTTTTTCTTTATATCTGTCAGATCTTGAAGTGCAAAAGAAAAGGGATGGTGATAGAAGTCTATGTTTCTGGCATCCCTAGAGATGTATAAATTAAAACCATAAATAAATAAGCATGGGCAATTTAGATGGGTGTTGAAAAGAAGAAAATTTGTACTATTATATATATATATCAAAAAATAAAGAAAATTTGTACTATGTATGTATAGTCACAATTCTAAGTTTCTTCTAAGTCACACATAGGCTGCTATAATTCCAACAAAATATCTAAACCCATGCAGCAATTTTATTTTATCTCTGTAGGAGGAAGTTGTGTGATAGCCTGACTGTGCATGTGCCGTAGCCCACTTCGCCTTTTGCCAACCTGTATCCTGCCTTGGAGCCTGGAGATGGATGACACTGCAACATCAGACGCTGCAGGCCAATGAGGAGAAGACACAATACCAGAAGAAACCATCCGGACCAATGGGACAAAGGGAGGGGGTATCATCATAGGCACATCTTGTTTCTGCAATAAATGAGTCTGCAACTGCTCGCACTGCCTGCTTCTCACCTGACTTCCTGTGTCTGTGTTGTGACTCCGCTCCAACTCTCCCCCACTCAATGGGTGCTCAAGGGTCCCTGTAACACATCTCCTTTCTTCTTACAGATTTATAGGAAACAATTTTGTGGCTAGAGGAAGTAGACATCTACTGTTTAGGGGAGAATGAGAGGAGAAAAAGGCTCATTCTGTTTTCAGCACATAATTTCATTTTTAATTTTGAGAATTTAGGTATCAGTAGCTATGAAAGAACAGTTCCTTATTGGTGGTTGTAAAGAATTATTCGTTTATTTTATTGAATACTAACTCCCAAACCTGCCTGATTAAAATAAAAATATCACTTTTATTATCTCTAATTGTTTAGGCATTCAGAGGAGGATACAGAGGGTTAGCTAGTTTCTGCTTTATAAAATTTGAGACCTTTGTTGAAAGCACATTCCTTTATACTGCTGCTCTCTTTTCCCCCACTAACATAATTTAAAAAATATTTTATTATTTTTATTTTATGTGTATGAGTGCATTGCATGAATGTGTGTAACTGTATCCCTGTCATGCAATGCCTATGGGAGGTCAGAAGAGTGCATCATATTCCCTAGAACTGGAGTTACTGATGTTTGTTATGTGCCATGTGGGTGCTGGGAACCAAACCCAGAACCTCTGCAAGAGCAGCCAGAGTTCCTAACTGATGTGCCATCTCTCTAGCCCTCCTCCTTCAACCTCCCACCTTCTTGTCCTATTGAATAGTGAAGAAATTAACTAATTCAAGCAACGTTTATTGTGTATTTTATGACAGGCATCTTGTATGGTTGAGGATACCTTAAAAAGACAAGGTCATTGCTCTCATAGAGTTGATATTTCAGTGTTCCAGGACACATTACCAACAAGCCACATTGTCCTTAGGTTATGAAGGAAGCACAAAGCAGGGATTAAGTAGTGCAAACTGTGGGAGTGAAGTACGGTGTATTTTAAAGAAGTCTGGGATTGCCTTATTGAAAATATTCATAAATGGAGGTTTGTCAGCTGTCAGCCTTTCCAGCCTGAGGAGGGCTGCGGTCTTAACTTAGCTGTGTGTCCCCAGTACCTAAGTTGGCCTCAATTAGTATATTAATGGTTTTGGAATTATAAGCAAGCAAGCAAACAACAGTACCGAATAAAAATTTCTAATCAGTTGCCCCCTATCGCTCACTGCAGATCTTAAGACATATCTTTCCAAATCTATTTTTGGAAAAACAGAACATCAACGCACTTAAGATTCTTCATTTAAGTAAGGTAAGGAGAAAACTGTTAACTGTCATCAGGATGTTAGCGTTCAGTTCCTGTTTTACTTGTCTTAATTTTGAGGTAAACAATCTTTCAAAAGTAGGCCTGCTGTGTGTATCTGGAGTTGCACGGGCGGGGTCAATCTGGATAAACCATGAGGGAATGGGGAATTCCTTGGGAGAACATCCCCAGAGAGTATTTTGGAATCTGCTTGTAGAATGAGGATTTAGGGTGGGCCTAAATTCTTTTCATTTTCACTGACTTCCCTCGCTCAACCCATCTAGCGCCACAGGAACCATTCCGGCGGCCCGGTCCGCCCATTTCCGGGTTGTCTCTGTGGCGGTCGTCGCGTGCGTAATGACGTTTCGGTCCCCTGCAGACCCCGGAAGTGCAACTCGAACTTAGTCGGGGCGCGGATCCGGAGAGGGAAAGTCTTAACAACCAAGTGAGGGAGTGCGCCCAGCGAGCTGGAAGGCCACGCCTCCTCCCGCCTCCCCCCTCAGCCCTGCAGCTGGGGGCAGAGCTCAGGTAGGAACTGCGCCAGGAGCCTCCGCACCCACGGCGGGGAAGCCCCGGAGGGGGCTGGCCTGGCCAAGTCTCGGGCGGCATCGCTGGCCCTGGGCTTCTTAGCTGTCTGGAGCCAAGCTTCGTCTCCAGGCACACCTTGTCCAGCGCTCCGCTGATATGCAGCTTCCACCTGCCCTGTCCCCTCCCCAGTCAGGGGGAACACATGTGTTCCTGGGGTGGCTGGACTTGGACCTGAGCACATGACGTGCTGGTCGTCTCCAGAGACCTTAGAGTAAGGGGCCCTCTACTTCTGAGGAGGGGAGCTGTTCCAGTTGTCTGGTTGCAGTGGTTTTTAGTTTGTTCGTTTTTATACAGGAAGTGTTAACCGCAAAAGCTTTAGCGTATATTGATTGCAGACATTAAAGTGCAGTTAGAAAATGCTCTCAAAACTTGTATCATGTGCGAACATCAGTACGACTATATAAATTTTTCTTTTTCAGTTGCATACTTTTGACTTTGAAATAAAGTTATTTATATTTGGAAGCAGGCTTTTGTCTTCCACGTTCAGATCCTAACCTGTATAGTTTTCCAGAGTGTATCTTTTGGGGCAGGGTAATTGCTGTTTTCCATGTGTTTGGGCTGTTTTAAGGACAAGCAGCATTGTTTTCCCCAAATCCTCAAACTCATTGCAGAAGGAAAATTCTGCATCTGTATCTCCAAGTGCCTTGTGAGATTTGTGCGTTTTTAAATGGATGCAATGTGATGGTTATATAGTTTGTTTTTGCCTTAAAACAGTGTGAACAGTATACTCTTTAGACTCATTATCTTTTTTTTTTTTTTTGAGGGATAGATGTCTGTATTTATTTAGCAACTGACTCACAGCACTCTTTCAAGTGCCAAATTAAGATTTCAGTGCCAGTGCTGGTACAAAGCTGGTTTCTCACCTTTAAACTTGAGATCCAACTTGAGATGTTGTCCCTTTAACCAGCAAATTCTACACATAAGGACTCCCTGGTTGCTGCAACCCCTGAAAATGATAAAACAGTATCCAAGCCAAGAGGGAAATGGGATCAGAGTCTGTGAGCAGTCATCTGTTCATTTAGCAATATTTTCTATCATCTTCACTGTATCAGGTAGTGTGTCCCATGTTCTGGGAAGACAATAGTGAACCCAACAGAACCAATTGTGCTTCTGGTACCCTTGTTTTAGTGGGTGAAGAACAGTTAAAGAAAATGCATAAAAAGTCGTGAGAAGAGCTGTGATGAAAAACAAAGTATGTAAAGGAGAGGATGATGGAGGTTGCTGTTGTGGATAGGCCGTCAGGCTCAGAGGCCTCTTTGACAAGGGACATTTAATGAGTAGCAATCTGAATGAAGTAAGAGACTGAACTCTGTAGGCATGGGGATATGTTTTAGGTGAGCACAACAGCTTTGAGGTAGAAGCATGTTTGTTATCACTTGGAATAGTAAGGATGTAGGGCTTAACAGTCTTGAGAAAGAATGTTCAGTCATCTGTTGTGTTCATGAAAGATCTTATTTATTGACAGCTAACTTAGTTTGATGGGGAGAATCTAGGGTTAGTAGACAGAGGTGTTTCCATGTTCTTCATTCAACTCTGACAAAACTAAATCACATTTAGTTCATTAATATAATGTGCTGCTCTTGTTTGTCTTATACTGGTGTGCTGGACAGCTTTAGTGTCAACTTGACACACCTGGGTTGAGGGAGCCTCAATTGGGGAATTGCCTCTATTGGACTGGCCTGTGGCCATGTCTAAGGGCATCTTCTTGATGAGTGATGTGGGAGGGCCCAGCCCACTGTGGGTGGTGCCACCCCTGGGCAGGTGGGCCTGTGTTGCATAAGAAGCTTCTGGATCCTTAGTACTTTTTTTTTTATCTTTCCTAAATGAAACTGTACCCCTTAAACACTTGACTCCTCATTTTTAATCATCTTTAGCCTCTGGCAACAACTGAGTTACTTTCTGTGGTATGAATTTGACTACTGTGCGCACAATATAAATGCACTTATACAGTATTTGTCCTTTTGTAACTGCCTTATTTCACTTAAAAATGTCTTCAGGTTTCAGTTGTGCTACTGTATATGTCAGAATGTACTTTATTTTAAAAGCTGAGTGGAATAATCATTTTATGAATATGTACTTTTTACCTGTTTGTTTACCTGTAACACTTGGGTTGCTTTCACTCTTTGGCTGTTGTAAATGTTGCTATGTATGTTTGCCTCATTTTAATTTCATTTGGCTCTATACCCATAAATGAAACTGCTTGATTACACAGTAATTTGCAGGTCTTTGGGTTTAAAATTTTTGCTCCAGAAGCTCATGTTTTAAAGATTTTGTCCTCAGAGAAGTGCAATTAGAAGCTAGTGGAGCCTTTAAAATGTGTGTCCTATTTGGATCAGTTTAGGTCATTGAGGACCTGTTCTTGAAGATAGTGGAATCTCAGCCCTTCTTCCTCTTTTCATTTTTGCTTCCTGGCAAATAGGTGTTTCCACTGTGGGGTTCTTCTCTCTTCCCACTGATCCAAAAGCAATGAAGCCAACCATCCATGGACTGAAACCTCTAAAACTGTGAGCTAGAATAAACCTTTTCTCTGTGAACTGAATTTATTACCTCAGTATTTGTTATAGTAACAACAAGTTTTAAGGTATTACCATACCGTTTACTGAAATGGCAACCCTGTTTCACATTCCCAACAGCAATGTTCAGGGGTTCTTATTTCTCTATAGAAATAACATTTCTTCACATCTTCACGAAACATTTTTTTTTTAAAAGAATTATCATGCTCCTAGGTGTAAAGGAGCATCTGTGGTTTTTGATCCACAGTCCTGTAATGATTGGTGATGTTAAGCATTTTTCATGTGTTTTTGGACTATTGATAGGTCTTTGGAGTTTTTGAAATGCTTTCCCTATAGAGCCTAGACTGGCCTCAAACTCATGAACTTCTTACTTCAGATTTCCAAATATTGAGATTTTAGGCTTACATGTATCTGTGACCATACTCAGCTTTTTGGGAGGGCAGGAGTGTTACGAGGGATTGAACCAGGGCTTCACCCATACTTGGCAAATGCTATAGCACTGAATTACATCCCAAGCTTGTTAATTCACTTTAGGACAGGATTTTAATTAAAAAAATTGAGCTTTTAAAGGCCAGCTTGCCTTTTAAGGTGGCAAACACTTTTTTTTCTTGCTTTTTAAACCTTGAAGTATTATAGTTGTAAAAATCCTCCATTGATTGTAGGCCAGGTATCTACAATAACTTCAAAGTTAGAAATTAAATCGAAGGAAACCCTAAAGCCTCTTTTGTTCAATGAACAAAACTTTTGGTATCAGATTGTGAGGAAAACAGCTCAGAGAAGCCAAAGATTATTCTGACCTGCTTTGTTGTTTTGGTTCTTTAATTGGAAGGAAGGAGGTATATTGATTGGCTGCTGTACCTGTGAAGTAGACCTCTTTTGTTTGCTAGCAGAGAAGAGAAGGAAACAGAAGGCTAGAAATGATGAACTTTAAGATATATTGGCTTGCAATATAGCAGTCGGATGTGGCTAGAAAGACAGTGACAAAAGAGATCAGTAATAGTGGTAGACACCACTGTAACTGGCAGCACAGAGGGGACCCAGCAACAGAGTAATGAAAATAATATAGATCCAAAGATTCGAATGGGATGGGGAAGAGGGTGAGAGAGTGAAGATTGCCAGCCACTTCTCAACCTGTGATTTTGAAGTGACACTCTTGGTCTGAGTAATTCAGGCACACCTGCTGTGTAGCAAGTAATACGTGTCATTTTGTATGACTCGAATATTGTTTAGAAGGTACAGGCTGTATACAGTCCTACAGACATAAGCTAAGTTCTTTAGAATATGTACCGTGTTATTCCCGTTGATAGAGATTTAATTGAGCAGTTTGCATACATAATTTAGCAATGTCCAGCATCATTGAAATATTATATATGTATCATATATACTATGTTTAAAATTGAAGAACTATATTAATGAAGACTTGAATGTCCACTAGGTTATAATTACATCTTTTTGCTTTTCAATATTGGTTATTTTGAATGCAGTCATCATTTGTTAGATACTCTTGGGTAATATATTTCTCTAACTTTCAGTTATAAAGCTCATTTAATTCAATTACTGTGCTGTAGTTTAAGTAATGAATGAAAAATTGTGCCATAATTTTCCTTATCACTCTTTGGCAAGCTAAAATTGATTAACTTACTGCATATTAGGTGGCAGATGACTGACTTGCTTAAGGCTTCACAGCTAAGTTACAAACAAGTTAGAGTTAAGAGCGTTGTGTTGCTTTCTGCGCCTTTTGTCTCCTTTTAGGGGAAACACTTTGTTTTGCAATATATGTGATCGAAATAAGGTTTGCTTCAGAGAAAATATCATTGTCAGATCTTCGAAGCAAATTTTTTTTATTGTATCTTTCCATTTCTTTATAAGAGAGTTTGTATTTATTCTGAATATAGTGTAGAGTCGTCATGTACCTAGACTTGATTTGCTCAGAGGTTTAGGGGTGATGATAAGCCTCAGATTGTGAAATGGGACTTTTGTAAAGCTCTGTAATAGTTCTTTACAGCAATGATTGCAACCAGTACACAACAAATCCTGCGGTATGCTAGTAGCATTCCTACCTGTATTAGTTATTTCGTTGCTGTGATAAAACACCAGGACCAAGGCAACTTAAGAACTCTGAATATCATGTCTTTTATGAGTTTTTCTAGTTGGTAAAATTCTATGAATATTACCATACAGATACCAAGAAAGTAGTGTAATAATGATCTTGTGGAAAGAGAAAATGGCAGTTCCATGTTTGATGTCCTCCTGTTTTCTATTCTATGAACTTCTCTTTGCTGATTGATGTGTGTATCCTTTCCCTGTGATAAACTGTTATCACAAGTATAACACCTTTCAGTGGGCTCTGTCTTGATAGTGAATTATTGAGCCTGGGTATGCTAGTCAGCTTTCTGTTATTGTAAAATATACCTGAGATAAAGCAAA